GCTAGTGTAGAACCCAGGTGGACCACTTAAATTAGGTACCAAAAGTACACGTGTGGCTTGATGTACCCTTGTTGTAACTATATAACCTGAAGTTAATAAGTTTAATAAAAAGTCCTTGGCCGTAGAGGTCACCTTAACGCCAAAAAAAAAAAAAAAAAATTATACATACAAGCTTAACTTTTATAATGTCTAATAAACAGGAATGTCCAAAGTGTACAATTTCTGAATTTTTTGTTGAGGTTCCAGGAGATGACAGAAAGCCAAAGTTTTGGAATTCATCAGATAAAGAAATAGCATGCACCTTCTGTTTAAAAAAAAATGAAAATTCTTTTGAAAATTTAGAACGAGGAAAAGAAATTGTAATAAACAAACCACGATATTATACTCAGCATCTTCTTGCTTGTTTAAATGCTTCTAGTAATTTAAGGCAAGAGCTTCAAGGTGAAGCGAACAATATTGGTGATGCTTCAGAAAGTTCAGTTTTAAGCAAATGCCTTAAGTCTAATCATAATGAAGAACGGTTTGAAAATGGGATTTCTAAATACCTTCTAAAATCTTCAACAGACAAATGGATTAAAGAATTTCAAGAAAAGCTTTTAAATGCAACTATCTCCAATGGATGGTCATTTCAGTGGATAGAAAATAATGAATTATTAGAATTTCTTCATTCTTAATCCAACTTTACAGCTTAAATCTACTGCAATTCCATCTCGTCAAACATTAGGAGGAAAACTTCTTAATACTGCTACAAATAAGCTTCAAACCAAGACTATAAAAACTTTACAAAATGCAAAAGCTATTACTCTTACCTTTAATGGTTGAAAAAATATTGCAAAGCAAAATATTCTTGGCATTACTTGTATTACAGAAGAAGGTGAAGTAATAATATATGATGCAAGAGATATTTCAAGTAAACGTAGCTCCATGGAGGCTACAATAAAATTAGTAAAAGATTTATTAATAGAAGATGAATTAAAAGATGTTAAGATTATTGCAGTTGTCATGAATTCATCAAGTGAATATGCTGCTGCACGTTGCAAATTAAGAAAAGAATTATCAATAATAATTTGGCTACCTTGCTTTGCTCATCAAGCAAATCTTTGTATTGTTGATATTTTCAAGTCATTGCAATTTTTTTTTACTACAATTAAGCAAGCCGTAGTAGTTACTACTTTCTTTAATAAATCATCTTTTTTTACAACACTCCTTAAAAATACTTGCAATGATCTTAAAATTCCTTATTTTGCTCTCACTAATTCTACTGAAACTCGGTAGTATTCATATTTTAATTGTATTCAAGCTCTTTTAAAAGTAAAGTGTGCATTAAGGGTATTTAAATTTATATTTTATTATTTAATTTAAAGTATAATTTTAAATTTTATAATTTATTTTAATAGAGCTTTTCAGTAACTCATGGAACAAGTATCTGAATATCATAGGACGACATTCTTATGATTGGTAGATCTACCCGTGATTTCCCTTGATAATTAGCCAATCAAAATACATAACT